ACTGATTGGTACAATATCCAGTTACCTGCTGCTCTGTATTCGATAGAAGAAACAAAAATATTTCCGTTTTTGGGTCAAAATCTGATAGTTTACATTAAATGCTGCAAATTGCAACATGTTGTAACATTGTTTTTTCAAGCTAATGAAAAATGGAGTAGATTTGACTTTGTTAGAGACAAATTTAGGCATTTGTGGATGGCAGAGAGACAGCTACTGCTCAACTCAACTTTTACCACAACTGATGACTTAAAAGCAGTGGAGCTTTAGGTGCACTCATGAAACCTTTTACCTCTCAAAGGTGAGATCTAACATTTAATTTAAAACAGGCTTTAGATAACGCAATTTTTAGTAAACCTTTGCAATTTTATTGACCTTACTGACACCAAATATAGAACCTCTCCCTGCTGTGTTAAAGAGCGGTGCTGAGGATAGTATTAATAGGACTGCGGCTCATGCTGTGGTGTACTTGAACGCCCATCTAATAGAGGAGTTTATTTGCACGAAAGGAGGAAGTGCTCAGCTCGCCTGTGTGAAAATATTGGCACTAGATGTTTCTGCGAAAAGGCTGCAAAGGCACCCATAGACAGCTGAACAGGAAATGACTGGTCATACTGTCAAAACCTTGAAATAGTCCTGCTTCTGCTTTTTAAACAGCGAGTGAGAAGATGAATAAAAATGACTTCCAAACATTTCGCTTAATCAGGAGGCCTGCTTTACATAAAATCCATGTGATGCTATTTGAGAAGAAATGTAAAACGGCTGCACATTGGCATCTCAACGGTTAAACTTTTGAACATCTTATGAACCAACATGTATTTGAGATGGACAAATAACTAGAAACTGAACCAATTATCAAGTATAGCGTGTTTCTTCTGGTAACAACACAACCTTGTGTTAATGTCCATTAGCCTCAGCTACTCACTTTAATACCTGCTGTTAAAGTATCCTTGGAAGCGCACCATATCAAAGGATTATTTCCTTTTGAAAAGCTACCAGACATCAAACCGATGCGTGTCAGAGTTTGGACTCAGCGGAGCAGAGAGAGCAGATGAGCATGATTCCTCCAAGTGTGAAAATCTACCTTATTTCCCTAAAAGATGTTTGCAAGGTGACATCTTAGTCAGTCTATTCTCTTTCCTGGAACACGTTCAGATATTAGTGATCATTTCTTATTTAAAAGGCTAATAAAGAAAATAGTAGCCAGATAATTCAAACACAAAAGAATATTTATTCTGTTTGTATCACAATCAAGTCTTTCAACTTCAGTCTCATTTATTCATTAACTATAGAATTTATTAAGGACCCTTTTTTCTTTACACTGAAGATTTTATAAGTGCTGGCATCTCACCTGTTTGAAGAATAATAATAGTTAACTCTTAAATGTTCCTTTAAGGACCTTTGTTAGACAATATAAGCATAATGGAGAAGTTTGAAAAGTAAAACAAAAAGAAATGCTGCAGTTTTAATAAAAAGTCCCCTTAAAATCATGCATGTGCTTTTTGGAACCCACTGCAAGGAAAACTTTTCTTTTTTGACTCATATCTGAATAAAAAAAAAACACCCCAGGTGTGGGATCATCAAACTGGCCCAAGCAAAGATCGATGGAGAGGAAAATTCACTTTCTTGTTTCAGTTTTAGTTGCATAATGCCTTTCAAAACCAAACCAGAGTAAAATCCCATTCTCTAGATCAAAATTAAGCTGTTTTACTTTGAACGTTGAATGGCGCTGCCTCGACAGCCACCCAGCCTGCCTGAACTTTGCCACAGACACGGGAGCAGAAATGGCAGCAGCTCGTGCGGTGATCTGAATTTGGCTGGTGAGAAGCGCCAATGAACTCGCCCTCACTTTGCCACCAGGTCATGAAAACGCATCTATATTTCAAAGGCCAGGTGTGCTACATGAGTAAAGACTTCTGAGAGATCTTTGCACCCTGCATGTATCTGGCGAAGAAAGCAGGAAAAAAGAAAGAGAGAGAAGAAGAATCTCGTCTTTTACTTCCTGAACTTCAAAGGGGCCTCAGCTCCTCGGTGTGGCCATCTGAAGCTTCGCTGGTGTTTGACCGATCCCTTCACATTTCTCTCACCATTCCTCCTGCAGATGTTTTGATTAACATTGCAGACCCTCAGACTGCTCTCTGAAATCACAGCAAATGTACTTCTGGGGCCTGAACCCATGATAAAAATTTTACGAGAATTTTGCCTCTGATATTGAAGAAAAAAAAGAGGTTCTGTTTTTATTGCTGCTCTGCTCAACTTCCCTTCAATCGTTTTTGTTGCTTAAAAACTTATTTCTTGTTTGTTTGTGCGCATCAAGGAAGATGGGGAAATAAAGGGATGAACCGAACAGTCATTATCAGGAATTGAAATTGTCGTAATGTGAGCTCTGTGGTTTTTTTGCACAACGTGAAATTGGCTTTTTTCTCAGATGTGGATTGAAAACTCGCCCCACAAATAAAGTTTGTTAGAAATCCTTGAAGGGGTTAATATAAAACTATTTTTACCTCAAAAACAACAAAATAAACACTTTAATTACATGACCTGCTGGACTAAAAGCTACTGACCACAGTGAGTGTATCTGGAGAGGAAGCTGTCAAGGAGAATTAAAGTCAAAAGAAACACACACACATACACACACCTGAGTATAAATAACAATAAACAGGAAAGGAAAGCCACATCTTCACCTGAATGTTTTGCATGCATGCACAAAGGCACAACATATGCAGCCATGCAATAAAACCAGTCACCTCATTTATACAGAAATTAATATACGGTACTTCTTCCAAGAGTTACCTAAATCTCCACAGCCACATGTTAAAGGTAGTGACAGAAATATGGCACTCGGTTATGGGGTAGTATTATCAAAAATATCTAAATGTAGTAATATCTAAAATCTAGATAAACAGACATCTATCCTGCAGCTAATTTGTAAAGCAGGAGAATAAAATGCAACAGGTAGCCAAATCAAAAACATATCTGCTTTTAAATTCCTTTAGATTTTGGTTTATGCACTTCCATTTCGCAATTGAAACTATATTATGACTGTAAGTAGACAAAAATATTCACTTTGGTGCAGCCTGACTGCAAATACTATAAAATATGTCAAAATATGATATATTGATATGTTTACCAGTGATCCGAATGCATCAAACTATACCTTCTAGTGGTTTTTGAATCTTAATTATTGTGGAAATATGTTTTAATTATAAGCATGCTATGCAATTTTCTGTGCTTTTCAACCCCCTTAACAGCTAAAACCTGTTCACTCCTTAAGCCTGGTGGACTCAATAACAGGTACAATTATTGCTTATTTCCAATTCCCTCTCTGATCCTCTTTCTTAGCCTTTAACCTTCCATTTATGAGGTAGGTCGTCTCAATCAGTCCTTTGGAGTTGTGGGTCTGCAAAGGGAAAAGCCTTTGACCTCTTAGATAACCTGGGATAAGGAGCAAATATGCTCTCACAACACATTTTCAATGGTGTTACAACCAATGAATAGTCCGTAACTGTTGATATGACTGTTAATTCATAAAATACCTTTTATTTAATCTGTTTCGTATTCATGTGAACTTCAATTGTTAATACGCTTTAAGAAGAGAATGTGGATCCAACCTAAACTTTTGCAGCATAATGCAAAAAATACATTAGAAATATATATATTTATATTTTGACTATGATAGCCTTGCTGTTGTATTCTTACTATTCACTGCAGATTATATAATGGATACGTTTTTTTTTTGCCTCCCATTTCTTAGTGGGATATTTTAATCACTACCTGTATTAAGTCCTAATAAGTAAAAAAGGAGTAAGACGAAGTTATCACATGTTCAGTTTCGCTGTAATGTACTGGAACACCAGAAACCAAGCGACATTACTTCTGCAAGAGTTTCTAACTCCTCGTTTCTAAGCGCAACCACTGAAAAAACTGTTTTTATAGATATACATCCCTTAGCTGGATTCTAAGCAGAAAGGACTGGAACGCCCTACATCTCATGTAAAGTTTGGGGGTCAAACAAGGTTTCAGCTCATGTTTTGATTTCTTTTTTTGTTGCAAATTGACTCTCATACCTTTAAATAAGCTTCTGTTGACTTCAAAGAAGAGTCTGAACTGTGCTCCACTTCTTCAGCTCTATAGTCAACCAGAGAGCACAGGCACGAGCAAAGAAGGTCAAAGTGGAGTTTTCTACAAGAAGAGCTGCAGCACCTTAAATCTTTCTTTTGACAGAAAATCTTATTTTGGCTTGATTACATTTATTTATTATAAAAGATGCTTGTGCAGAGGAGCTGAGGACACCACTGCATTAATTGGTGATATGGGTTTATTCTTTTTTTTTCTGCACAGATGTGAACCATGAGAAACCTTTGGCCTCATACCGTCTGTCAAACACAAGTGTCGCGCATTAGAGAATTAATCCCCATCGACGTGGCTGCATCTTAATGCTCGGTGACCTGCAGAGAAGCCCGCCAGCGTCTCTCTTTCTCACTCTGCGCTTTCCCCCCTATACACTGGCTGCTCTTGCAATATTTATACATTTTTTTTCGTGTGTTTATTTTCATTTGACATCAATATTTACATTTGCACTCACCACTAAGACCAGTTTCATTATTTTTAAACTTTGCATTTTTCTCTGAATGCAATCTGATTTTAAAAGATGGTTAAACTTGAGAGGAAAAAGTAACATCAGTCTTTGCAAAACCAATATAGCTCAGTTCAGAGATTGTACCCATTTAGAAAATGTATTTGTTGCATAAATGTTAATTTAATTCATTATAATTAAAAACGTAAATACAATATAATAATAAAATATTATGCAATAAAGTTTATTTTAGCACTGCAAGACTGGTGATTGTAAGCGATCATAATCAGAAAACCAAAATTGGAAAAAGAAAAATAAGTTTTCAAAAGCCCTGATGCCTGAGTTGTGATGATATAAAAGTTTGCACAGATCCAAACTCTCAGAAATCGTCTGATTTCTTTGCATAAACTTTTATTTGTCGTCCTACCTGCCCTGCTTGGTGATTATCATCTCGGTCTGGAACTTGTGAAACTTGGCCCACAGCGGGTAGTTATTGAGCAGGACCTGGGTCTTCCCGCACACCTGCAGCCCAGGTAAAGAGTAGAGAGGCCGCTGGTAGCCGTGCTGGAAGCTCGCTGGGTAGTTTTCTGCAGAGGAGGGGTACACTGGCTCTTTACCTCCAGCGGGGAACCCCTCTCCCGCCGCGGGGACGTATCCCTGCCCGGTGCCGCTCCTCGGCGGAGAGCGCATGCCGCCGTAGGGACATCCGCTCAAGGTCTGCGCGTAAAACCTGCCCGGCTGAGTCCCGTACCCCCCCACAGTCTGCTCCGGGTGGTAGGGCAGGGTCAGAGGGTCCTGGCCGCCCTGAACAGAGTCCGAATAGTAGAATCGGGCGTCCTGGATGCCCATCTTCAAATCGGCTAGATCCTTGCCGCCGCGGTGGAGGTGGGTGCTGATGTCGAGGCTTTTTCCGAGAGTTTGCGCTTCAGTCCCATTCAACATGCTGAGGTAGAGGCTGCCACCTATGCCGCCCATTTGCAGCGTCGCTCGCGGACTGTGTCAAAAGTCATAAGCTTAACCCAGACTTCCAGTTTAAAAAAAAAAAAAAAGGAAAAGAAAAGTAAGCAGAAAAACAGAGGAGTCTGAGCTGTTTTATCCTGACTTAGGAGAGAAAGCGCTTTGACATGCGGCACATTTAAACTCAGAGGTGACAAAACATCTCCAACACGCTCCGTTCACACCCAACTTTGCCTCTTTTTTTTTACTACTACACAAGTGGGTGAATGTCTTTTATTTGACTCTAACAGTGACTCAAACACACGCTCCACTTTTTAACCTGTGACATATATTAAGTGGTCATATTTTGGAGGAGTGTCAGGAGCGCGCAGAGAGGACGCGATAGGCTCCAGATATGAAAGAGCCACCCCCCCTCTTCATAACACGCACACTCTGCTGGACTCCAACATCTCACAGGAAACTCTATTTAATTAATATAAATACTGCAGCAGGGATTGAAAGGCTCCAGTAGAATCAGTCAAATTAACGAATTATATATATATATATTTTTTGTTCAGAAACTTATTAAAAAGTGAATCCATCTGTTGCGCTTAAAAAAAATAATATTTTCTAATAGCTTCGTCTTTATTTTAGCAGAATGTTGTCTCCTGTCAATTCGTTTAAAACTGGTATTTATTGTAATCTGACTGAATGTCTGAATTAGACAAAACAGCAATCGCCCACTCTCTTTCAGTTGCTTTTTTCTTCATTTTTGTGGCCGTGTTTCCCTCCTTTTTAACTCACCCTCGCCATAAAACACTTGACTGATTGAATCATCAGTGAATCAGAAATTTCGGTTTTTATTTTCCATCTGATTTTCAAAGCACCAGAAAAATAATTACCTTTTTTTTAAAAACTATTTCTTTTAATCATATTTTTACTTGCAATTTAAAAAAAAGATTACAGATTTGTGATGACATTTCTTATTCTATGTAATGGACAAAATAATCAATTTTCAACAAAATATGAAGGAAAATAATTGCTATTCAAATTATCACAAATTTTTGCTTTATTTTACAGATTATTAAATTGTTTTTTTTTTTAAACATTAAACTAATCAATAAAATGTTACTAAATACTACTCTGATGTATGTAAAAAAACAAAAAAAAGAAAAAAAAACAAGACAAAGCTTTAGAAAACTCATTGTCACTTTCATACATTTTTAATTCATTTCCTATAGATGCATTTTAGTTTGTGGACAAATATATTTGTCATCAGAGCAATAGATTGGGTCTCAGTCTTATGAAAAAAATATGTTTTTTCTCCATATATTTCTGTAAAACCTGAAGTAGTCTACAGTCATTTAAATGTAGATGCTTCTTATTGATGTATTAATACATAAATTAGATAAAATGATGTAACATAAAGCAGTTTATTTAAAGATTTGTGTTAAATTCTATTACAACAAATCAGAATCTAATGCTCATATTCACAGAATAACTAAATCTTACTATGATAATTATATTACATACAAAGACAAATGTTTCATGAGCCAAACAATCCTGGGAAAATTTTCTGATAGCTGTTTTACAGAAGATTAATCAACAAACATTCTATCCAAACATATTAATAGAAGATTTAGTTGATGGCAAAAGTTACTCAAGCCAGACAGATAAAATCTCCTTTAAGGGCATTGTGAAGCGCAGCATATTAGACTGTAAGGCTTTGCAAGGCCTGGACTGCTGCTGGAGTCAGAGCAACAGCTTATGTATCCAGATGCAACTAATGATTTCTGGTGTGAATCCACATCTGAACCAGAGATCTCTGAGATTTCTCAGCAAAAGGGAGACATTTTTGGATCTTATTTGGAAATCTAGAAGTATAGTCTTGAGGAAGAGGCCAGCAAAGCCACAATTCATGATGAGTGTGATATTTCCACTGTGAGGGTTTTTTGTGCCATGTCATCTCAATTGGCACCCACTTGGAAATGTAAAGCCCCTTATGTTGAAAAGCGTTGTTTAGACGCTGATTTTATTTTTCTGCAAGAATTTGGTCCCTACCCACACTGCTAACTGCCAATGGTACCAACACCTCACCATGTCAACATTATCACTTAACTTCATTAACGGGTCCGAACCCAATAGATGATAAAGAATACTGTCAATAAGATGACAAGGATCAGACCCAACAATGTAAATAAAGGCTGCTATCAAACGGCCTCCACTGGATCATAAGCAGAACCACAGACTGATCTCCTCAATGCTGTGCTGTATTAACGTATTTATTTATGCAAAAGAAGCCACAACCTAGCACTTATATTCAATACCTGGACAAACCTTGTTACCAGACCCACAATTTTGTCACCGAAATCCTAATCTTGGGTATATTGCAATACCTATTAAGGTTCTTGTGACTGAAATAAATATTCTAGCTATCAAGATGTACCTGGTAAGTTGTGGGGAACTGGAAATCTTGGCCTTAATCTTGCTTTATTAACAATAACAAGATGGAAACTATTGTGTGTTTTTTAATCTTCAGTTTAGATTTGAACAATTTTAGAACCTGGTGAAAACCAGATTATTTCTGGCCTGCAGATGGTTCCCCATCTTATGACCATGACTCTGTGATCTGGCTGAAACAGAAAGTGGTTTGGCACTTGGTACAGTAAGAAGCTTTGGTGCTGGAGACCTTGTTCTGAGTCGTCTGCAGCTCGGCGCGGACAGAGGATCAGGTTCATAAGCACAGATGAAACAGATAACCCTGGGGTATTAGCAGCTGCATGTGTTGGACAAACCCCCTCCCCTCTAGAGAAGGTATGACACGATTAAACCCCACCGACACTGTCACGGCTCTGACCCCACTTCCTGCGCCTCTCCTAGCAAGGTGAGCTTAAAGGGCACCCGCTGAAGTCATCAGTGTTGACACGGGTGGCGTGGGGGCAACGGTGTGAGCGACACGGCCGCTGCCACGGCCAGCCAGGCGTGCCCACCCGCCTCATGCTGCACTTCCTCTGCTCCCTGCTACCTGCTTCCGGTTAGGCCTCAGGCAGTCACCTGGTTCAGCTGAAACCAGCTTTCATGTTGTGTCAGGAGCAGGTCAGCTGCTGTCCTTAATGTTGAGGATTTTGGTCATTATCTTCTGCAGAGAAAAACCTGCTGCTGTGGGCTGTTTTGTAATGAATGTAACACAGAGGCACAGTAAGTCTGTAAGCAGGAGTTAAAAATAGGGAGTTATAACCTCACTCATCCTCAGAGCTGGAAACTAAACACTCATGTAAAAGCTTATAGGTTGTAACAGAATGCAGTGAAAGCAAGCGTTGGCTTGTAAGATACTTTGTCAGATTATAAACCTGCTTATCATCACATGTCCTTATGTCTTCATTAACATGATCACTCAAGTGCAGCTCCATTAGAATTTAGTCTGTTGTGAAATAGTAGACTTTTTATTTGCATTTTATTTGCATCATTGGCTTATGCAAGGATTTTCGTGAACCCTGAACTTTTGACCATTCAATCACTTTAAAACCACAAACTTAATGTTCTTTACTAGGATTTTATGTGAACGACCAACACAAAGTAAAGCATGATTGTAAAGGGGAGGAAAAATGAGATATTTATTTATGTTTTATAAGCAAAACAAGTAAAATTGCTATGAATGTCTGTAATCAGACCCCTTTACTCCGATTCCCGTAAATAAAATCTATTACAAATATACTGTAATGTAACTTTTACAAAGCATAAATTACATTTTATGGTTTTAACATTTGAATCACATTTTTATATGGGTATGAATACTTTTCTATCACTGTATAAAGCATTAGTTGGATTTTGCTTTGATCACATCAAAGATTCTCTTAAAGCGAACTTGGACAAACTTAAATGTTAAAGATTTTGCTTCAGGTTTCTGCCTCGTTTTTAACAGATCATATAAACAGTCCTGATTATTCGAGTTGACTTATAGTTCCTAACATATTGAATTCAAATTATTGATGCTTTGGGGGATAATATGGTATTTTATTGTGAATCCACTTCCCTCTGAGAATGAGACTCCAGACTTTCTCACTCCTGATGGATATCACATGGACATCCATCACCTCAAAAAGGCCAATTCTTCTCTCTTTATATGTTAGGATAAAAGCTTAGCTGCAGGCAACTGACGCTGAAGCCAAGACAGGTTTGACTCTGGAATCATTTAACCCCGGAATTAGGTATAGGGACATTTTTGAATTGACACCTCTTAGTTTACCACTTGTTCCTGCTGAATCTGCACCGGGAAGCCCCTCTGACCCCCACTGGAAACTTGAGGAGGCGAACTCATGGCCATAATGTCCGTTATGTTAACCATATATATATATATAAAAACATACATATATATTTTTTTACATTAACATATATCTACTTCTTTCTCATAAATTTCCAAAACATCCTTAACATCTCAACAATACTGACAGTCAAGTTACCGTGTGTCTCTTTGTCAACATCTCTGCTCATGTTTTAAGTCAACTGCCTTTTGACTGCTTAACCCCGCAGCCTTAAATATCCGTTCCTGACATCGCAGCGATGTGGGTGGGCATGGCGGGCCTGTCACAGGGCTGCAAATCAAAACCAGTCTACAAGTCCAGCAGTGGAGTTTGTTTCGCTGCAGCAACAGTTTGGCGCTTGCTGCAGCCAGAAATATTGAAAGCTGTTATGTTATCATTACATACCAACATGCACAGCGGATTTATTAAAAAAGCAAGTTTTTTTGGTAACATGTTGTGGTTTTATTCTAACAAGGCTTAAAATGCATTTAAAACTTTTCAAAAGTAATGAAGATGTTATTTGGTTCCGCTGTACTAGCATTAAAAAACTACACAAGCACACAAAACTAGTAAGGATTAATCACTAATTGCAAAACTAATTAATGCATAATTTAATGAATAAAAATGTTATTTTAACTTGCTCCATTTTTGTCATATTAGCAAACATATCTGGGCTAGATTAACTTTTTAGTTGTTTTCAGTTTGGCTCCGACCTTCTAATGTGTAATTACTTAAATTCAGGGCCACCAATTGTCATCAAAAGTCCCCAAATTAGTAAATCGCAGTAATCTCAACATGAATATGGCTTTTCTGACAGGACCTCAAAGAACATTAGTAAATACATAACATCATGAACACAACAGACAGGTTAGTGGGTTTATCTTGTTGACTGTAATGGAAGGCAAGGCAATGCAAGGCAAATTTGATTTGTAAAGCACAATCAGTAAATAGACAATTCACAGTGCTTTACTTGCTTTAGATAATGACATAGAAGAAAAATAAA